CCCGCCCCGCCCGGCGGCCGCGCTCTGATTCTAAGATGGCGGCGCGCGGAGGCGGCGGTGGCGACGGCGCGGAGCAGGGCCCGGCGCTGCTCAGCGGGGACGTGGAGCTCGAGGCCGGAGCCGCGGCCATTCCGGAGGAGGTACGAATTGCAAACACATGATTGGGCTGACGCAGGAGCACGCAGAGGCCGTACTGGAGAAATTCGGGGGGAGCAGGATCGCCAGTGTGCCTGCAGGCCTGGGCGGAATACTGCGGAGGGCCGTGGCGGCTCCTGGGACCCCGCGGGAGCGGAGCGGAGCTTTCTGCTGTAGCTCGGCACCCCTGGACGCCGGGCCGTCCTCGTCCTCCTCCCGCCTTTCAGTGCTGCCTTCATCTCTTTCCGTTTTTCAGAATCCTCCAGACGTGCCGCGCAGCAGCCCCAAGGCACCGCCGAAGCCTGTCGTGAGAGTCTTCCTGCCCAACAAGCAGAGGACAGTGGTGCGTGCGACGGGCGGAGTTACAGTCCGAGACAGTCTGAAGAAAGCGCTGACCATGAGAGGGCTCCTCCCAGAGTGCTGTGCGGCCTACCGAATCCAGGGTGGAGAGAAGACACCGATCGGCTGGGACACTGACATTTCCTGGTTTACTGGGGAGGAACTGCATGTGGAATTGTTGGAAAATGTTCCACTTACAACACACACTTTTGTACGGAAAACTTTTTTCGCCTTAGCATTTTGTGACTTTTGTCGAAAGCTACTGTTCCAGGGTTTCCGCTGTCAGACATGTGGTTATAAGTTTCACCAGCGCTGTAGTACAGAGGTTCCTGTGATGTGTATTAATTATGACCAACTTGATTTGCTGTTTGTCTCCAAGTTCCTTGAACACCAGCCATTACCGCAGGAGAAGACCTCCTTAGCAGAGACCCTTCCATCTGAATCATCCCCCAAAGAGTCCACTGGGAAATAGAGAAAAAAGCAGGAAAACTTAAAGGAGAAGATGAGATCTGAGTGAACATAGGAAATGAAAGCGTGGCAATTGGAAATGGAAAAGTGGCGTAAATAAAGAGCTAGTGGAGACAGGCTTGTCGGAATTGAGAGGTGCATGTATAAAGCCCAGTTGCAGAGTATTAGAGTTTGCTTGGCACAAGAAGGGAGAAAAAATTAAAGGCTTTCAAGCAGATTACTATGAAAATGCTTTTAAGGAAATATACATAGTTATTTAGTAATAACTATGTAATCACACCGCTACATAGTGGTGGACTAAAAAGACCAATGGACAAAAGTCCCAGTGAGGAAAGGCAACTAGGTTGTGAAAACTGGCAGGCAGTGAGATCCCGATCTGGAGCAGTGGCAGTGCAGAGAAGGACAAGTGTTCATAAAGTGCTGAAAAATCAATAGTGTTGTCAGTTGTAGAGGGTGAAGCAGTGGCTTTACAGGCAATGCAAAGGCGTCACGTATTTCAGCTTCAAGGTAGGAAGAAAAGGGATCCACAGTAATGATGAGTTAAGTGGTATTAGTTTTATCTGGAGCATTGCTTACACAGATGTTATGTCTGTAATTTCAGAAATACTTAGTTCAGAAATTCTGTCAGTTTTCACTCTTCCTTCTCTTCCTCACAATGTAATCTTACTTCTTTAGGATTCTACCTAGAGAGATCAATTGACACTTCTCATAGATCTGTAATTTTTGTGAAACCAATCTTCCTGAAGATCTCACAGCTTAGAAAAGTTAACCGAAGGTTTTTATATTAAAGAGTGGTTAAAAAACAAAAATTAAGAAAAATGGGCATGATGATGCAGGACTGTAATCCCAGAACTCAGGAGGCTGAGGCAGGAGGATTGTGGCAAGTTTGAGGCCAGCCTGAACTACAGAACAAGATCCTGTCACAAAAAAATAAAAAGAAGAAAAATGTAACTTCCGTTCTTTTGTCAGGATGTAACAGTTGTTTCCTCTGCTGGACATTTTGTTCTTGCTAGAATAATCATTAGTGGTGTGCAGATGTGTGTTTTCTAGACAATCAAATAAAAATATTTTTTTTTTTGGTTTTTAATTAATTCTTTGGCTAAAACATTTTCTCCAAAGGGCTGGTGATATAGCTCAGTGGCACAAGTGCGTGCCTGGCAAGCACAAGGTCCCCAGTTCGATTTCCGGTACCAAGAAAAAAAAAAGACAAACATTTTCTCCTGGTAGACTCTGTAGACCACAGTCCCTTTCTAATGGCAGGTCCCAGTTCTATGAACAGAGTTGTAGAACACCATGATGAAATTATCTTGGCCTCTCTCAGAGTGTAAAATGGCAACAAGCTAGGCTATGCCAGTGAAAAAACATTATCCTGAGAAACCATTTGCTATGAGTTTTAGTCATAACTAAACTAGACTACTAGACTGTAGTCTTAGGCAAATTTAAACCTTTATAAGTCATTTACCTAATGCTTTATTTCTTGGGTTTGTTTTGGGTTGGGTTGGATTGGCTTGGGTTTTTGAGACAAGGTTTTTCTATATAGTTCAGCCTGGCCTTAAACTTACTGTGTAGAGGGGCTGGGGATTTAGCTCAGTGGCAAAGCGCCTGCCTGGCAAGCGCAAGGTCGAGAGTTCGGTTCCCGGTACCGGAGAAAAACCAAAAAAAAAAAAAAAAAAAACTTACTGTGTAGCCTAGGCTGGCCTCAAACTCACAGCAATCCTCCTGCCTCAGCCTCCCAAGTGCTGGGATTACAGGTATGTGCCACCACATCCAGCTTTCCTGATGCTTTTATGTCACAGTGTATATGATTGTCTCTGTAATAATAGAAATCAATCACATTAGGGCCAGGCATGGTGGTACATGCCTGTAATCCTAGCTTTCTGGGAGACTACAAGCAGTAGGCTCACAAATTTGAGTCTCACCTGGCAATTTGGCAAGACCGTATCAGAATAGACTAGAATAGAGGAGAAGAGAAAGGAAAAGAGAAAAGACTACTGATATCACCTTGGCTTGCTCGCGCCCCAGAAGCTGCCCTTTCCCAGGGTCATAATGGGCAGCAAGATGGCGTCTGCCAGCCAGGTCATCTAGGCAGTCCAGCCACACACACCATTAATAAGTTTCCCTGACAGAAGAGACAATCCTAAGCCCAGTGTATCAGAAGCCTTGAGATCAGCAGGGATCCCAACTCACTCTGCTGTACTCTCACAGCATTCAAAGGGGAGTAAATCCCCAGAGTTGCTGATGCATCCAGGTCCACCAGACAATGCAGAAATAATAAAAACGCTACCTCAGAAGTACAAAAGGAAACTAATATCCCAAGAAGAAATGGAGTTTATCCACCATGGAGGTCCAGAGTAATGGAGGTTGTGGCTGCTGTTTGTCATCAGACAGAAGAATTATCTTTATAATGAAGGACTTCCAAAATGACATATGAAAAGTTGTATATTAATAACCTTAAAAAATATTCTGCAAAAAAAAAAATAAAAAATCTGTGCAAAGAAAATATTTTCTTATGTGAAATATGTCTTTTTGTGACAGACTACACATTATAGATACATACACATATCAAATCATTGGATAATTGAAACAAAATGAAACAAAATTTTTAGATTTTACTTCTAATAACTAATTTTTAAAAATCTAAGCTGAAGTACATAACAGAAAAGAATGCAAAATTATAAATTTTAAAATAGAATGACATTGCTGGGCATGATGGTGCAAACCTTTAATCCAGCACTCAGGAGGCTAAGGCAGGAAGATTGCTGTGAGTCAAGGCCAGCCTGGACTACAGAGTGAAATCCTGTCTCAATAAATAAATAAATAAATAAATAAATAAATAAATAAGACACTTTTTAAAAAATTTTTAAAGGTAAAGAACAAAAACATATTAACAAACAAACACACATAAACAAAACAACACCCAAACAATACAGGCAATACAGAGGTTCACACAAGGTGATAGAAAATTAACAGTACATGTTGTACTACATATTGTTATCGTCAAATTGGTTACTCAGTTAAACAAATACAGGCATTTAAGGTTGATCAAACAAACATTAACTCTTCCTTTCAATAAAGCAATAGAAGTCAGTAGTATGACTGAGTTACCCTGTGTGTGTATAGATATAGATATAGACAGATGATAGATAGATAGATTTAGAGACATACATTTTTCCCTTCTTCCTTTTTCTCTTTTCCCTCATCCCACTTGTTCCCTCCCTTTGAACAGTTTCTTTCCCTTTAACACTTCTAAAAATATATGTCCTCAAGATTGGGTTCAGATTCTTCGAAGGAGACATTCTCTTCAATGAATGGATTTGGATACACACATGCACACACACACACACACACACACACACACACACACAACAAATGTCAAGCAATGGTCTGAACTCAGTAGAGTTTCTTATATCAACAATTGGTCCACTTTTTCAAAGTCACAAAGCAAGGTTCTTCATGTTGCTCAACAGAGGAATAGAAGAGATGGTAATTTTATTGTAACACTGTGAAAGGACACTGAACTCCTTGTGCACTTAGCTCACCTCACTCGCCTGTGTAAGACATTTATAAACTGATGTCAAATTATCAAAACAATCAAACTCATAAATCATTAAGAGTATAAAAATAATTGCTCAGAAACAATCTGCCCTTTTTCTACATAGACATTCCTAGCTCCTGGTGAGCCTAAGCACTCTGCAATCTGCCAGAGTGTGTGAATAATGGCACATTATTCAAGGTGAAAAAAGAAAAAGTCCTACTTTCCCAGGCATTTAGATTTGAAGTCAGGATGGTGTTCTGGTGTTTGTTTGTTTAATGGCCATCAAGTGGCTGCAGCGCTGGAAAATATTTCTGGACTATGTCTCACACTGGGCTTTGGGCCAAAAACTCCCTACTATAGATGTTCCCACTGGCCTCGATAAGAGGGAAATGACTTTACCCTAAACTCTAATTCACTAGGAAATAGTCATAAAACTGCTTAGCCTTGCTCTCTTAATGTTGAGTAAAGTAAGAAAACTGCATCTCTATACGGATAAAGCCCTGCACTTTACATTGTGCCATTGACTACTGAAGTAATGAAAAATACTTCCCTCCTGTTACCCTTCCCCATCTCAGATTCCTCACCCATGTGGGTCCGGGGCCAGCCTACCCTCACTCTCCCACCACAACAATGCTGGTACTGAGCCATGGAGGGAGCGCTGTGGGAAAGCAATCAGGACAGCAGAGTGAATTAATTTTCTGCTGTCAGAATAAAACTACATAACTCATGGATGCAAGGAATTGACAGAGACCTGCGGTCCACTCAGTTTCTCCTCGCCAGAGTCTCCTTATTCCTGGATATGATATAAACTTGAAACTCAATCACAATCTGGCTCATATCCTGTTGCCCCCCCCAAAAAAAATTCTGTCATCTTCTCATTTTAATTGTTTTAACATAAATGCCCTCACCACTGTGAACTCATTCACTCCCATTTGCACAATAAGCTCTACAGCAGTAGTGGGAGGATATCTTTATAGTGTAAGAGGACATCTTTACAGTGTTTGCATAAATGTGCTCTGTGTGTGTTGGATAGAAAGAGACAGAGAAGAGGGGAAGAAGGGAAGAAAGTGAAGGGAAAGGAAGGGAAGAAAAGGGAAGAGGAGGGAAATAAAGGGAAGGGAACAGATTCCTACAGCATAAAAGTGCAACAGCATAGAAATATATTTTAGCACTTCAAATGAAACTGCCCATATAAAAATTTCAAATCAATGCTCAGCAGCTAACTCTTAGTCCTTCAGAGTTGACAAGGTTTATGTTAGGTCTGTACTGTTCTTCTAATATTACCATCTTACTCATTTTGAAAGATTTTTAGAAGAGATTTTTAGAAGATTTTTAGAAAAGAATGCAAGGAAATGGCTGGGCAAGAAACCCTCTTCCAGTCAGTGGTTCTCCCAGTTTATATAGTCCATTGCCCAGGAGAAGCAAGAAGTTTGTTTTGTTTTACATAATCTTCAATGATAAGCTATTAATTTCTTTTATCATTTCCTTCTTGTGACAAAATAAAATTATTAGCAAAATTATTGGTAGAATACTTGCACAAAATACATGGTTATGAGCTATATTAAAGGTAATGCTCTGAAATACCCACAATTTTGATTAAATTTCAAGGGTTGCTCAAGTACGTAAGATTTAAATCAGAGACTTTGTTACTTTAATTATACATGATGGTAGAGATGCCTAAGGGTCTGAGAACACAGATAATTGTCACTGTACTTTCTATGAAGACTAATAAATTGCCTATTGAGGATAAAGAATACATTGCAGTTCCTGCTTCTACTTATAATGTAATTAATGTAAGCATAAGTATATTTTAATGTAGTTTCTTTTTAACTCAAGTACCTCCATCCACACCATGGTGTTTGACGTGTACTTCTTCTAAAATCTTTATTTGGAGATGGTCAAATATGTGCTGCTTTCTGGTCTGAAGGTGGAAACATAATCATTTCAAAACTGTTTTTGCAGAGACACAGATTAAATGTCCTCAATGAGCAGGTGGCAAAGCTGTTCCCTGTGTTATCGTGGCTTTGTGCACATGTTATGTGAACCTTCCAAATGAGTAGACACAACCTGGTCACTTCACAAAGATGCTTCTTGAGGCCACATATTCAATTTTCAACAGTCCAGTTTTTACAGATGTTCAAAAATATTGGCATGTATCGGTGGCAGATCATCCGTCTATTCAAACTCTGAATAGGCAGATATCACGATAGGAGCCTGCTTTATATCTGATGTCATCTTGAACTAAAATATTGTAACTAAGTCTATTTTAGATGGATACTATCCCACCCTTTCCTTTCAACAGAAATGAACTCTGGACA